TGGTAGTATTCTAGCCTTCTTTTTTATTATTTTTTATATACAAAAAAATTAGTCTTTGTAATTTATATGATTATACGACCCAGTTGCTTCTTTCATGTTGAAATCCGAGTATTTCTTTGGCTCAACAAATTTATATCTTCAATTAATTTTGTCTAATGATTTGATTAGGCAGACACGCTGGGATAATATCAGGTTATTTTTTTGTATTGTTACTATGGAGGTGAGAGAAGGAAGGAAAGTGAGAGATAGAAGGAAGGAGGTGGGAGAGGGAAGGAAAGAGGTGGGACAGAGGGAAGGAGGTGGGACAGTGAGGGAAGGAGGTGGGACAAGGAAGGAAGGAGGTGGAACAGGAAAGAAGGGAGGTGGGACAGTGAAGGAAGGAGGTGGGACAGTGAAGGAAGGAGATGGGAGAGGGAAGGAAGGAGGTGGGTCAGTAAGGGAAGGAGGTGGGACAGAAGAAGGAGGAGGTGAGACAGTGAGGGAAGGTGGTGGGGACAGGGAAGGAAGGAGATGTAACAGAGGAAGAGGAGGTGGGCCAGGGAAGAAGGAGGTGAGACAGTAAGGGAAGGTGGTGGGACAGGAAGGAAGGTGGGACAGAGAAGGAAGGAGGTTGAGACAGTGAGGGAAGGAAGTGGGCAGGGAATGAAGGAGGTGGGAGGAAGGAAGGAGATGTTAACAGGAAGAGAGGTTGGGACAGGGAAAGAAGGTGGTGATGACAGTGAGGAAAGGTGGAGGGACGGGAAGGAAGGAGGTGGGAACGGGAAAAGAAGGAGGTGGGACAGGGAAGGAAGGTGATGTAACAGGAAGGAAAGGTGGGACAGTGGAAGGAGGAGGGGGGGTGGAACAAGAAGGAAGGAGGTGGAAAGGAGGGAAGGTGGGACAGGGAAAGAAGGAGGTGGGGGACAGGGAAGGAAGGAGGTGGGACAGGAAAGGAAAGGAGGTGGGACAGGGGAAGGAGGGAGGTGGGATAGTGAAGGAAGGACGGGGTACACTAATGGTACAGATGGTGGAGCTTCGGACTGGGATATACCGGGGCAGGATGGTCTGTCTCTGCAGAGGAATCACACTAAGATTTATTCCATTATCTAACTCGGATAAATCTTCTTGGACTCGCTGTTATGGCAGTCCAGTCAGTGAAGGATCCTTGCCATCCTTGTAGGACTGAATCAATAGAAGACTCCTGTTGGAGCGTGTGGCGTGGGTCCAGAAAGCAAGACATGGTATGATACACATGTGTTATACAAGGCACGCTGAAAGAAGCTTTCACTACGATGACTTAGCTAAGGAGATTTCTGTGCTTTTTAATATACATTCTGAATAAGTAGTGGACTGGTCGTGGTGGTGGGAGTCGTTTTTAATACAAATATACTTGTCATCAAAACACCTGTAGATACTGACAGTGTGTATCCCTGAGCGCAGCTGAAGAGCCAAAAAGATTCCTTCACCCAGTCGTAGAGAGTTCTCCAGCAGAAGCTCCTTATCAATAACGATACGACACTGGCGTAGTGGTCGCTGAGTAGACTTGATTATCTCGCGGACGTCTGTCTCCTGCAAGATGCGCACTGTCTTAAGGAAGGGATGATACGTTCCCAAGTACTCAATATCCATTGTGGAGACCTTCTGTGCCCTGAAGATCTCGGTGAGTTTAGAAGTTATTGTCCACTTAGTGACAACCACTGAACTGCTGAGAATATATCAATAACTGAAATATAGTGAGACTGACCGAGCTCAACACATACAGAAAATATTACGTCGATGTAGTTTTGTTAATATTAAATTATATGATATACTTAAATATAGTAGAGAAATAGTGTAATATAGTGATGGTGAAAGTATTTAGTACTCAAGATGGTGAGTTGGGGATTGCGTAAAGTAATAATGATAATGAACAGTAAGCTGGTAATAGTGTTAAGTAGTGAAAATAGTGATCAAGTGTTTAAGTTATGAAGATAATGAGATGCTGATAGTGATTAGTGATGACAGTGAGCCGGTGACAGGGACAAGTAGTGAAGATAGTGAACTATTTATAGTGATATGTAGTGAAGATAGTGTACTATTCATAGTGATAAGTAGTGAAGATATGAAATAGTGTTTAAGTAATGAAGACAGTGAGATGATGATAGTGACTAATGAAGATAGTGAGCTGGTGAAAGTCTTTAGTAGGGAAGATAGTGAGCTACATATAGCATTTAGTAGTGAAGACAGTGAGTTATTTATAGTGTTAAGATGTAAAGATAGTGAATTGCTGATGATGTTAAGTAGTGAAGATAGTGAGTTGTTGATAGTGTTAAGTAGTAAAGATAGTGAACTATTGATAGTGCAAAGTAGTGAAGATTGTGAGTTGTTGATAATCTTAAGTAGTGAAGATAGTGAGCTGGTGATGGTGACTGTAGTGCTGAGATGCATGGTAGTGTTGTGTAGTGGAGTATTGTGTTGTGTAGTGTTCTATAGTGTAGTGTAGTGTTATGTGGTGTAAGTGTTATGGGTGTAGTGTTATGTGGTGTAGTGTTATGTGTAGTGGTTTATGTGGTGTAGTGTTATGTGGTGTAGTGTTATGTAGTGTAGTGTTATGTGGTGGTAGTGTTATGTGGTGTAGTGTTATGTGGTGTAGTGTTATGTGGTGTAGTGTTATGTAGTGTTGTGTGGTATAGTGTTAGTGTGTGTGCGTATAGTGTAGTGTTTGTTGTTGTAGTATAGTGTTGTGTAGTGTAATGTAGTGTTGTGTAGTTTTGTGTAGTGTAGTGTTTTGTAGTGTTCTGTAGCACAGTGTTCTGTAGTGTAGTGTTGTGTTGTGTAGTGTTGTGTAGTGGCAATAGAGTTGTGTAGTGTTGTGTAGTGTAGTACTGTGTTCTGTAGTGATGTATTGTGTTGTGCAGAGCTGTGTTGTGCTATGAAGTGTATTGATTTGTTGTACATTGTAGTGCTATGCTGTGTATTGTAGATGAATAGTTCAGAGAACCAGCAAGTTGATAGGTTAGACACATGTGCAACACTTGGGTATCTTTGTTGAGGAAACGTTTCACCACACAGTGGCTTCATCAGTCCATGCAAAAGAGAATGGTGAAGAACAGAAGGAGTTTGAGGAAATCAGTCCCTCAGCCTGGAGTCCATGTAATCAGTTGCATCTGGTGGCTTATATACAACCACAATGACTAGGTTTTGGTCCTGATCTTTATTGCTAAAACACTTCAATTTTTTTTTTTATTTTCATCATTTGTGGTTTTCAGTGGCTTTAGTAATCTGTTACAAATGAGCGACTTTTTAATATAAGGTTAGCTCTACACACCTCTTGTCATCTGTTCTTTCAGTCACATCTAAATAAATCAAGGCTGTAAACATGGCATTTGACTCCATTAGAAGTACACTGATTAAAGGTACTTTGTTGTTGTTGGATGGTTTAAGGCCCCTGTACATTCGCAAATACAAATGGTAGTTCGTATGCTCGTAGTTTTTTTTGGGAGGATTTTGTTTCGCTGGACATTCAGTAGTGATGGTGCTGGAGGGCGGAGCGACCATGGTCCAAGCTGGTGAAATATTTTGATCATTTCTTTCCATTTTTGTTTTCTGGGGCAAATAAAAAAACTTACTTGGAGTGCGGGATATTTGCAACTGCTTTTTTATGGTTTGATTTTAGGGGTTGTCCTCTTGTTCCTTTTAAATAGTACGCAGGATTTTTGTGTCTTTAGCATGTTTTTTTTGAGGACTGGTGAATGGCACAAGTAAGGATGGAAGAATTTATAGGAGGTAAAACGACGCACTCCTTTAGGGAGGAGCTCTTGGGATTTTTTGGGTGCCCAGAGTTGAACGTCACATTTGTTTTCCCCCAGATATTCCATGCTTACGGATGCCCTAAGTATAGAATTTGCCCCTTTTTGCTTTAAGTTGACTAGAATTTGTAAGTGATGAGTTCTCAATTTGTGAAGTTAGTTTCTACAACTATCTTCAATACCAATGTCAGAATAGCCACCACAAGTTATTTCTAGAATTAGATCAACACTGTCCCAAGAAACAGACTCTTCCTCTGCTAAATCTGTAATGGTGACTGTATTTTCGTGTAATGGTGGCTGCTCTATTAGATTTGTAATGGTGTGGAAGAGTCTTTGCCGAGTCTGGATCAGCACTAGGGCCCGGGACTGAGCTGGCTGATGTTCTGGTTATATGTACTTTTTGCAGTTGATCTCTATTTCTGAGTCATTTACTGTAATATGGGCAGGAGCAGGAGAAAATGTTCCAAGAAAAGGAGTGAGAGTGTTGGCCAGCCAAGCTGCAAGAAGATAAAAGACAAAAACCTCTATAGGATAGGATGGGACGCAGAGGGATATCAGGTTTATGAGTTTTAGGAAGACCATAGAAATAAGGTAGAGAGGGACAGATAACACGGAAACGTTGAGAAACATCCAAGTCAGAAGGACAGAGATCGAAAAGAGTCTAAGTTTA